GTTCGACATACTTCCTACAGTACGTTAATTTTATTTTTACTGTTTCCAAATTTTGGCTTGCCTCCGCCTGTTTTGGGACAAATTTTTTACCTTTCTATGGATTTGTACATAATAACTGATTAAAATTGTTTAAAATTATAAATAAAGTAGTTATTTTTACCCATTTTCTATTAATATTTTTCCTAAATAATGTATTATATAATATGTTAATATATTATATAATATTTATAAAAATTACGTTTGCGAAACAATCGTGTTGCGTGATCGCGATGACTGACGTATAAAGTTGCAGCATTCGTTCCAGCTGTTCAATCTGATACGTTTAAGCGAAAGCCGTGCGGGCGGTGAATCCTTCTTGTTATGTTCGTGTATGGTGTTATCACGTGTAGTGTTCTCAAATGTTGAGTGTGGTGTGGTGCGTTGTATGTGGGGAGAACCTGTGAGTGTTTTCAGGTGTGGTGTGTTGCATTACTGAGACTTAGCTCATTTAAACAAAAACTATTAAATGTGAATCAGCCTGAAAAAATGATGAAGGTGAACAATCGATAACTTTTCGTTGTCTTATACGTTTTGATTTGCTCTAATCTATATTATCGATCACCTTATACAACAATTACAAAATAAATAAAAGACTTCAATGGAATTAGGTTAAAACAATTAGTCTTTATCGACATAATTCAAAATGTGACCTTTAATAATGTAAATTATATATCAATATCCTCAGATGTGCAAAATATATTTGCATTATTTATTACTGTCAAATTCCAGTTCTAATCCTAGGTAATACGCTTGGTATTTCACAAATTACAACGACAACTAGTTCAATAAAACCTATGCTTCAATTTTTCCAAGGTTTTCGTGTTTCTTAAATGCCCTCATCTTGGATCTTTGTACTGCACGTTAAGGAATTCAGGAATTCTAACCCTTGGAACAACCAGAAGTACTCGGAAGGTTTGCCCATTTTCGCTTTTCTATATCGATGCAAGCAGCCACACACCAACTTTAAACTGCTCCGCTCTGGCCAATATGCTTGTGCGAATGTTCTTTCTGTAGTTATTTCTCCACTCGTTGTGCATTTGTTCCTCTCCACTTCATGCATTACACCTTGCGATTCTGGATCTTTTAGCAAGGAGTCATCCGTTTCAGCTTTAATTTTATCTTGCTCTTCCACCTGTACTGGTATACACGCTTCCTGCTCTTCTCACTGTAAGGACACTGGTGCTGATATGCGCGAATCTTTCACTGTCAACCGCTCTTTCAACTGCGGGGATAACATCTGTGATATACGTAAATCTTGCGCTGCGAACTGCACTTCCAGCTGCGTTCACAACCGCGTTTCTAACGAGAACATTTGGGATTGCTGTGCCAACATTTGTGATGACACCTCTGCTATTTGTTGGGTCATACGTGCATTCTGCTCTTTAAACAGTGTCGATATTTGAGTTGACGTCTACGATATACGTGCATCCGGATCTTTTCCGTCTAACCGTGATTGTAATTCGGACTTTACTCCATTTGTTGCTAAACCACGTTTTCTAGCTACTTTTTCAGTTGTGGAATCTTTAAATCGTTAAACTTTGACATTTTAAAACAATTATCTCTTTGGAAATTTAGTCCCACTTCGGACACCAATTGTAACGGATTTCTCGATGAATCGTCTACCTATAACTCTTGATTTGATTGTTGAATAAAAGTCCCAATAATGGCTATACACTAATCTTTATTTCTAATTCCAACAATTTAACACTTATTGCTCGTTATACGAGCTAACAACTTCTTACTTATGTCACCATTGTTCTGAACACGACAACACCCTAACTAGAACTGTCTATGATGCACAGTCTAGCAGTCCATATATAGTAGATCATTAACAAAACTTCATCTCTAGAACATTCTGGCAACTACGAGTTCGCTGTCTATTTGCTTCTAGCAATTTATCCTCGATTCGATTTCGTTCTATCATCCGTGTTCGTCACAATATATATTGAGGGCAGCGCAATGTATGAAAATAAATGTATCACAATATATAAAAATGGAAATATCGGGGAATGTCGCCCGTCGAACGAATGTGCGTGATGCTGCGTTTGCGGTCTCGAAACGAAGATCAAGATGACAACTCATTTTATCCATATTCTTATGGTGAGGTGTGTTGTGATCCTGTGTGGTGTGCAAGTGTAATGTGGGTAGCGTGGTGCAGTAAATTTGTGTGGACGTATGGTGTGTTGATGAAGTGAATGTTGTGCGTCCGTATGTAGCCTTGTATGGTGTTGTTTTGTTAGGACGGCTTAACTCGTTTAGCCAAAATTCAAACATTCAATGCTATTATTGTTCACGAAAGGCGAATAATTACTTAAACGGACATTACTTTTGTTTATATTATGTACGATGACAAAAATGTTGATGCCAAAACTGATGTGCGAAAATTGTATCGACTCTGTGTTCGACACACTTCCTACAGTACGTTAATTTTATTTTTACTGTTTTCAAATTGTAGCTTGCCTCCGCCTGTTTTGGGACAAATTTTCTATGGATTTGTACATAATAACTGATTAAAATTGTTTAAAATTATAAATAAAGTAGTTATTTTAACCCATTTTCTATTAATATTTTTCCTAAATAATATATTATATAATATGTTAATATATTATATAATATTTATATTATATATACATTGTTGGGCGTTTTCGATAATGTAAACTGCGAAGTATGCATGATGCAACCAGTTCGAAATAGCAAATCTGGCATCATTGCCAAAATTGAGAATCCGAAAAAGTATCGCAACTGTGCTAGCGAAAATTCATTCTAACTGATTTACGTTAAATTTAATTTTAAAATTGTTTTACTATGTTTAAGAATTTTTTTAAAATTTAGAAGAAGGATTGCGTCAAGAGCACTAAAGCTATCACATTTAGAAGTATCAATTTGACTTTAAAGGTATTCACAATTATTAATTATATTTTTTCATTCTCTTTTGGTATCTTTCTAATAGAAAGAATAGCTGTCACAGGCTACCCTAAGGGAAATTTGAATATTACCGTAATACTAATAAAAACTTAAATATATAACATATACATATTTACAGTTATTATAATAATACATAATTATAATAAAGGAACACTGTGTTCCAGAAAGTCGCGAATCCCTGAAACTCCAATACATTGAAAGAACATACATAAATGTTCCAAATCATTAGCCAAGCCGATTTTAGGTACCACAGAGTAGATGCGAGATTCAGCACTGAATTCCACGCGTACTTTGCTATTATACTGGTACATATTTGCTTTTCAATCTGTTAATTTTATTTGTGCTTATGTAAGTGATATGAGAAGAAATGGGTTCCTCAGATAAAGAATATTTTGCAGCTCTGTGTTAAATATTAAAAAAAGTATGGAAAACATCGAAACATAGTAAATAAGATGAATTTGGCGAATATCACCATTTGTACAAAGATTTAAGACCTTATCCGCAAATATTTAACATATGCGCCTTCCAACTCCACTCGGCGCCGAAAAACGCTTAAAAACTGTTTTCCCCCATTGAACTACTTTATACTCGGTTTCGGTTTCCACTCTGCGGTGCCTTTGCGATTTCGTAAAAATGAGTACGCACAGTTGCGAAGCTTATTTCTCGCATTCGTCAGCTTTGCGCTCGGCTCGAACTTGAGCGTCCACTCTGCAGGCCCCCTAATGGCCAAATCATATAGAACTTTACTGCGCTTTCCGTCAGACATTTCTTTTGAATAAATGTTCGATGTACGCTTTTATATGAAAACGTTCACATAAAAAGTTATCGACTCGAAGACCAGCAAAATGTCGGGCAACTCTCATATTTTTACGCTTTGCCAAGCGATGCGCGCCATTTTTATTACAGAGAAACACTGAACGCAGCCTTGTTTTTTTCGCTTTGTTATTTCAGTATGAACTGTCACGCAAAGCCAGGAAAGTTGTATGTGAATGGGCCTTAAGAAATGATGACGATGGAGGCGAACAATCGATAACTATTCGTTATCTTTTACGTTTTGATTCGCTCTAATACTATGTTCGCACCGAATTGAAATCCTCTTGAAAACTCAATTTGTGGATTGTGGAACCAAAGTCGTTCTGACCGACATTGTGTCTTTTCGATGAGTTTTCATTGACAGTTCACACATCTATTTGTTTACATTTGTTATGTACCCTACAAGAACAGTGACGGTCATCTGATGGGTAATATGACAGTCATAGCTGAAAAAATTTTGTCAGCGCGCAGAACAAAGTTTCTATAATTTTCTTACGATCCTTGTTTTCTTTTTGTTTGTTTGTTTTGTTTTTTCTGAGTCATTGCTGACCATAAATTCGTCATAGCTGAAAATTGTCAGTTATGGCTGAAACGCTATCAGAAGTGAAAAATTATTTTGCACAGTAGATAATATAATTTTTATTTCTTTAATAAATTTCAAACTTTTAATCAAAATTAGTTATAATAATATACTTAAATATAACAAGAAATGCAACAAAAAATATAATAAAATATGAAAATATAAAAATAAATTTTCACTTGATGTCATCTCCTCCTCTCAATAGCTCTGTGTACGTCTTTCTCCAATCAGTGGATAGTTCTGAATTTAAAAATGCAAATGTAAATTAACAGTACTGTCATATCATATGTGAGTGTATTGGTGAACCCATCAGCAGTTTCTTGTAAAGTACGTTTAGGCCAAATATGGAATGCAAACAAATTGTCAACTGACATTTAGGGCTGACAAAATATGTCTTCTAATAATATCGATTAAACTAGAGCAAGCACCGATTATAATGAGTGGAATTTAAGTTTTCAAGGGGTTTCTGCGAAAACTTTGTTTTCGTTTGACAGATTTTGTATGGATAAAAACACAAGTTTTCGCGTGAAAACCTCTTTTGTCTATGAAAACACGAATTTTGTGTCGGTGCGAACATAGTATAATCTATATTATAAATCATCATACACAAAAATTACAAAATAAATGGAGGACTTCAATGGAATCAGGTTTAAAACAATTAGTCTTTATTGACATAATTCAAAATGTGTACAGTAATTAATGTAAATTATATAATATATCAATATCCTCAGATATGCAAAATGTATTTGCATTATTTATTACGATCAAATTCCAGTTCTAATCCTAGAAAATACGCTTGTTATTTCACAAATTATTTTTCGATTTGCTTTCAATCAGATATCATCGGCTTTAAGCCTTGCTTCTCTTTCTCCTTATCACGTTCGTTGCGTGACTCAGCTTGTCCCAGTAAAATAGCTGGATTTGGTTGGCCCTGATGTGTTTTTTGCTTTAACATGGTCCAATCATATACATAATCATAATGATGATTTAATGTTCTGAAAAGGATTCTGAAAGCAAAAGGAGTAATGCATTAGATAGTTCAAAATTAATATTAGTCATTATATACATTTTTGTCGCAAACACAATGCACTTTTAATTTTTTTCAAATATTTACGAATTAAAAAAAAGCTTACAATTCCAATCTCAAGCTCTCACGAACAGATATTGAGTTGAAAGTTGCAGATTTGCGGTTTTATGGCTTAGAAGCATATACATTTGGTTCAGTAATCGAAATTACTTACTAGTCTCGTTAGTCTCTGATTTTTAATTTTATCGTTCTGTGAAGCACTAGTTGCTCCATTTGCATTTTAATTATCAAAAAACGAAAAAAAAACATTGAACCTAATTTTAATTGCTCTGAATATCAAATACATTATGACAATTTACATCTTAATTGTATCATTACTGGTCCGCTCGCATGTGATAATATATACATAAATTAATATCTGGAAATTACCTTGGAACAGTTATATCAATTACACAGATATTCATTGAAATGTTTGAATCTTACAATACAGCTTTTACCGGCTAAATATTACAAAAGTATATTTTCAGCCCAAAATAAATTGAAAATGCAGATTTCTGATTTTTATTGAAATCCGAAAAACGGGCGTGCACCGCCGGTATATATATAGCCTAAACAGGGTATATTAAGTTTGCCCCGAAGTTTGTATCACATAAAAGGAAACCTTTTGTCCCCAAGAAGCTGCTCATTTGTCGATACCGTCCATATCAGACCACTTTAGCATATAGTTGCCATATAAACTGAACGATCGGAATCAAGTGCTTGTATGAAAACCCTTTTCATATGACAAGGTACAATCTCCGAAATTAAAGTTTTTTCTTATGTTTAGTTTCTGTTTTTGCAAATTTTAAATATTTTCTACAAAGCTTTTCTTATATTGTTATTGAAATTATTTATTGAAAAATTTTAGTAAAACAGATGTGAGAATACTAAAGCTGATACGTCCAGTTGCGTGAAAACGATAAGTCATACAGTAAAATCGCAAAACACAGTGTATTCAGATGGGAAAAGTTATGTTACGCGCCCAAACGAAAAGAGCTGGACCTTAGGTACACTACTCCAACACTGAAGCATGGTGGAGGCAATATAATGTTTTTTTGGGGTGCATTGCCATGAAGTGGAATCGTGTCTATATTTAAAATTGATGGAGAAATTTACCAATTTAAATACATTTTGATTATGAACGACATTATGGTGCAATTTGCCACAGCTAACAAGTTCGTAACATGGATGTACCAGTGGCTTCATAAGAATTTGGTAACTATTTTTGAAAGCAGTTTAGATCTAAACCATATCAAGAACTTTTAGTCTCATCTGAAAAACACGTTCGACCTTACAAAGTAAAAACATGTCGACGAAATATACGAAATGACAAAGAAGAAGTAAGAAGCGTTAATCGTCAATAATTATTTTGTTTCAAACTTTTTTTTTTTTCATTGCCTTTTAAAACCCATAACGCGGTGTTATTTAGTTGTACGTTTGATTTAGACCAGTGGTCGGCATTTTTACGCATACAAACGTTTTATTTTTTGAGATTATATGTGTAGAGAGCTACTCAACTGTCCAAGTGGTGCGTTTTACTGGTCCTCTATGTTTTTCAGTTCAACTGTAATTAGGCCAGCGATGGTCCTTTAAATTGCTTTGTAGCGTTCAGCTTCAAGAACAAATAAAACACCTTCACAAAAATAGATTTTACAACCGAAAAATTGGCGAGACGTTCAAATTTTTTATGAGAATGGTAGAAAATGCAATAAAATAAGAACTGGAAAGGAAAAACGCGGATGAAAACCAAACATTTTTCGAATTATTGAAAACAATATAGTAAGATTTGTAAAAAAAAAATACGCTTATCTTCAAACGACAAAAAACTTGAATTAAATTATTTTTTATACTAACATTCGCATAAAGCAAAATATTTAAAATTAAAATAAACCGAAAAAACGAGGAAAGTACCTTTTCTGTTAAAACAAAATGTTACTAAAATCCTATTTTTTGTTCAAGAGCATGCCATCTGGCCAGTGGAGAAATGCGTTTTTTGTTGTTGTTGTAACGGTTATCTGATCCCCGCTTGGGTGGCAAGTTTTAGTTTTTGTCGTGTCGTCGTTGGACAAGCAAAGAGTGTCATGCGGACATTCCTGACACACCCGAGGACCTGAGGGGTTGACAGTCATCCGTACTGTTTCGAGGTCAATATTTCAAAGAATAATTAAATAGGGCTTCCGCAGGGTGGTGTCCTCTCTCCGCTATTGTATAACTTCTACATCTCGAAACTCCCTCAAACACAAGAGGAAATTTCCATGACCTCGTACGCTGATGACTGCACGATATTGACGTCGGGCAATTTAATCGATGACATGTGCTCGAAAGTAAACGGCTATCTCTCCGACCTTTCTCGTTGCAAGGAGCTTAACTTTTTTACCCACTAAATCCACAGCGACCATATTCACAAACTGGACGAAGGAGTACAGACTGGATCTAAACGCAGTCGATGGCGTTAAAATTCCGAGGGTCAATAACCCCAAAATTTTAGGTGTTACAGGTGCCTGTGCTCCTTCACTCCTCACACGACCGCATTAACTGCCAAATTACAGAACCGCAACAAAATGCTCAAAGCGCTTGCCAGCAGTATGGAAGAATCTTCAGACATGTCAGAGCACTGCACTCTGGAGAAATGGAGTAATATCCCCTCAGATGAGATATAATAAGTTTTACACAATTTTATACCAATTACCCAAAGCAGAATTAAAGCTGTTTAAAAAATGGTTCACAGATAACAACATTAGCACATTCAGTTGGCCTGATCAACAGCCTGATTTTAATTCAACTGAGAGTTTGTGGCGATAGTTGAAAGAAGCTTTAGGGGGTAAAAAACCACCTTGTGCCCCCAGGGGCCATGGTTGAATCTATTTCTCGTGGATGTCAAATAGTTATACATAATAAATGCTTAACAACAAAAAATTATATAATGAAAATACGTTAACAATCAAAGAATGTTAGGAAAAATTTATAATTCAACTTTTGTTTTATATAGAACTTCAATATTTATAAATGTCACTCTTTTTTCACAGCATAAAATGAGATGAGCGACTGAAAGAGGTTTTTTTTTCTTTGGAATAGAATTCAACCCAATTATTTTATTATTAGATTAGGCATACCGCAATATGTCCCTAATATTTTTTACATGACTGTACATGGCTTCGCACGTCTGTGTGAAACACATTTTCCATTTTGCAGTTTCTATATTTTAAAAGTAATTAATTTTTTTTTTTCGATTTAGCAGTTTCTGTATTTTAAGTTTTGAATTGCTTACCTGAAAAGTTGCCGGAGATACATATAATCGGGCTGTTCCTCAAATCGCAAACTGCGGCAATAATTTATATACATTGCGAATTCAGCTGGAAATCCCTTGCATAGAGTTTCAATAGGAGTAGACATTTTCTTTTCGGAAATTTTTTCGTATTTCTGTTGTTTATTAGTGGCTTTCATTCCCTGCCATGGTAGAACTCCACGATTAAAATACATCATAACGTATCCTAATGATTCCATGTCATCTCTTCTAGACTGTTCAATGCCCAAATGAGCGTTTATTGAAGCATAACGTGCTGTTCCCGTTAAATTTTTATCTTCACGATATTGTATATGAGTGCGGGAAACAGGATCTCTATATTTTTTAGCTAAACCAAAATCTATCAAAAACAACTTATTGCAATGACGTCCGATTCCCATTAGGAAATTATCAGGTTTAATATCTCTGTGAATAAAGCACTTTAAGTGAATATATTCAAGGCGTCCAATCATTTGATCCACCAGCATTAGCACCGTTTTAATAGTAAAATGGCGTGTACAAAAATTGAACAAGTCTTCCAAGGATGGTCCGAGAAGATCCATTACTAAAGTATTAAAATTTTTTTCTTTGCCGTGATATCGGATCCTGGGAATTCCCACTCCACCGCTTAGAATTCGATATAATTTTGCTTCATATAAGAGTTGTGGATGCCGTGCATTTGCACTTTCCATTTTTACGGCTACTTCTTCACCACTTTGTATACTCATTCCCAAATAAATATCTCCGAATGATCCACTGCCTAAAATAGAACAAGATATATAATATTACATTAAGTATTTATAACAGTAACATAAAATCGGTTAAATATGTATGTACATAATCTTTGTCATCGGTTTCAAAATAGGCTCCTATTGAACCATACCAGCATGCCAACGCTTAATTAAATTTTTCATACATTTGTAATAAGCCTCGACTGCCTTGGTCTGCAGTGCTTACAGTGAATATTTTTAATAGCTTTAATGGACTCACGGCGCGTTCCTCGAAGCAAATATTTCAGTTTGGAAAGCAGAAAAAAGTCACAGGAAGCCAAATCTGGCGAATACGGTGGCTGAACGATGACTCTCGTTTCGTGTTTGGCCAAAAAGTCGTGGTTATTTTTGTTTCGGCTCATTTTCTGAGCGCCATTAATTAGATTGTTAGACAATTTTGACGACAAGTTCATAAACCCATTTTTCAAAACCAATAATGATGCGTTTGATGGATGTATTTCTCAATTATGTACGTTGTCCAGCATCTCTAATAATATATGTAATATGTAGTAACTCGATCCATAACAGATAGTGATATCCTCTGCTATCTCTCTACTATTAACACTATGATTTGCAAGAAATGTTTCTTTAACTTTATCGATGTTACCGTCATTAACAGAGCTGGATGAATATCTCGCATGAGGCAAGTTTTCGAGGACTTCACAACCTTGACTGAAGGCATTGTGCCATTCATTTTCTCCGATTCAGTAATCGTGATTTAATTGGAACCACATACTTTTCGGGTCGCGAATTTTTAGGTGCAAAACGCTCACCAATTGACATATGGAGATCAAACTTCCCACGAAGTACCAATCTAGGAAAAAACAATCTAATCGATTCACTTTGCGCGCGTAGTTCAAATGGACCATTCAAGTCAATTACATATATAAAAAAATAATACTTTAATATATATTTTCGTCTTAGGAAAAGTTATAAAAAAAAAAAAAAATTTAAAAGAACTTCACCAATGACTCGATTCCAAGCTTGTATTTTTCTCGGCGAACACCCATCTTCATATAAGGTCCAAACACAAATTATGGGCGTTTTGCAAATACAAATAAGATATTTAACGACTTTATACATAACTTTTCTAGTAGTCAAACTTTCTTGATGAAGATCAATAATTCATCAGATCACCATTTTCGTTTAAATACGAAAAAATTTTGGTGTTTACCAGAGACCTGCAGCGGTGCACAAATACCCAAGTAAGTATGAGGTACACTCTTTGTTGGGGTGCTCCATTTCAGTTCTCTGGTATGTAGATGTGTTGTAAACAAAGTGAATTAGAAAGAAATTTGTTAAACAATAAGAAACAGATTTATTTATTAATTATAAGACTTAGGATATTACGTTGGTCTTATTAAGTAATATAATTTTTCCGTTGTGTTAAGTGAACTAAACTATTATACTCTAGAGCAACATGTTGTAAAAGTTTTGAATGTATTAAAGAAATAAAATTGTATTATATATTGTGCAAAAGAATTTTTCACTTGTGATAGATTTACAGTCATAACTGACAAATTGCAGCTTTGATAGCTTTTCAGTCAGAAGTGAAGTCAGCTTTGATGGATTTATGATCAGCAATGACTCAAGAAAAGGCATGAGAGTGAACAGTATGGATGTATAGTGAATCATTCATTCATTCAAACCTGATTAAGAGAGAACTGGGTAAGAGAGAAAACTCTATATATATAGAAATAATATTTAACTGTATTAACTTATTTGTCATGCTCACAGCAGTTCATAAATATCATTTGCTTCTCTCGCTCATATTTCTATGAGTAGGTATTTACACAGCATACATGTTTGTGAGTGTGAGTGGTCATCGCCACCGATTTTTAAGTAAGTATAAAAGTGAGAAAATTAGGCTCCCATGCAGTTGTCTGGTGTTTACTAAATCACTGAGGTCCTTGTAAGCTTAGCTGAACTTTTCAAAATTTAAATTTTATTTTAAAAGTAATTTCTTAGGAGTAATATATGGAGTTAATCATTGTCACTCGTCTAATATTTATTGTGATATTTGGATCGTGATTCCCATTGAAGATTGATGAATCGCGAGTACTACACGTTCAATACTTATCACGTCAGTATATATTCGAAATAAATCGAGTTTTTAGAAGAAACACGTTAAAAAAAATGTGGAAAACGGTTGGCCTCAAGGGCCATCCCTGCAACTTCCCGCTAATTTCATACGCTAACGTTCAAATTTCGCTTTTTTCACTGCTTTTGAGCTCTTCGAAATTTTTCGTTTTTAATATCTCGCAAGTAAATCAACCGATTTTGACCCGGTTTGCGGCAAACGATGTGTTTTTTCAAGGTTTAGAACTGATTAGTTTTTGGTGTTGATCGGTCAAGTCGTTTGGAAGAAATTCGAAAACGATTTTTCAAAAAAATTTATTTTTGAGATTTCTCAAAATCTACTCGTCCGATTGGGTCCAAACTCACACGAAATTCAAGTGCAATGAAACCCTTTGGAATGCCGTTTAGTTTATTCAAATCGGTTGAGCCGTTTAAAAGTCATAAGAGGGTCACATACATCCACACACACACACATACATCCACACATACATACAGACATACGGACATCATCGTAGAAATGTTCGGGGAAGCTTCCTCGACCCTCAAAACGTCGAGATCTGTTGAGAACTCGATTTTTGCAAAATGGGGTGAAACCAATATCTTCCCGATTTTTAGAAAATGTTCAATTTTCTTAGCGGGAAGTTAAAAATAGTTTTGATTTATTATTTGTTTAATTTTATGTCCGGTTTTTTTAATGAGATGTTAAAAGAAAACTGAAAAGTTTCTATGGTTTTCAAAAATAATATTCAAAAAAAAAGAATTGGAGCAAAAAATACTAGTAATTATACAAATACAATTAAATTGTACGTTTTTAATAACAATCGCACGATTTTAATTGTTTTCAATAATGTGTTCCGTCGTATCGCGAATTTACATACAAAATGTCGTGGGCCGCGCAATCCATATTAATCGTTGTCGTATCGTAATCGTAAAATCATGAATATTTTTCGAAATCTAAATTGGAATTTAAAAGAGGGTACACAAATACATTCAAAGTTTTGGATGTTCACCAATAACTACAACAAGAATTTCGGATGAGATTCCTTCTAAAAATACCAGTAATTGATGCAATTTATTCCCAGGCCCACATAAAAAAATTAATCTTTATATTTAACGTCGGACCAGACAATAGAAACTAATGCACATAGTGATGTATCCTGTACACCGTTCAAAAGACACAAAGCGAAAAAAAGCTTATTCGGAAAAAGATGCGAGGAAAATTTTTCAAAAGTGCTAAACACGCTTATAAAAATTTTCGATCGAAAATTCTTTCCGTTTTGTTTCGATATCGATAAAATAGTTTACTTATGGTAAAACAGGTATCAATGATTGCATGAAAATTTTCGATGGACAATATTTATGAATGCTTAGACCCATCGTATCGACTCCTTGTGATCGCCAATAATTTGAAGTGTCCGAGTATTTTTTTAAAATAGAAAAAATTTTGATATCGCGCAGTGATTAGATTCTTTGTTTTGAAAGGTTTTAAAGCAGAGGAAATTTATGAACAATTGTTAGAAGTGCCTTCAAAACTCACCGTAGTTAAGGAACGTATTACTTATCACATTATATCACCAATATCCTAAACAAACAAACATCAAAACAACCTCATCTCTGAATGAACAGAATGTATGAAAAATACATCAAAAAAACCTTATCTTAGAACAAGGCAAATGTATTTAAACAAACAATATGTTATATGTAAAGAAACTATCAACTAGTAATAAGTAACACTAGTTAGTATAAATAGCAGTAAGATCTATGTAACAAGTTAGTCTTAAGAATATCAATAAAGAGCACACATTTCGGTGCAGCTCAAAAGTATATTTCTATCTACTCATATCGTGTAAACGATATTAACTCCGTTGAATTTTGGGCTGGTGAATTTAAACGTGGTCATTCTAGGCTTGAAAACGATCACGCGAAGGAAGACCAAAAACCGCAACCACACCAGAAATCATAGAGCAAGTTCATTATATTGTTAGTGAAGATCCAAGCTTGACTAAGCGTGAAATTGCTAATGCATAGGCATCTCAGACGAACGAGTACTTCATATTTTACATGGAGAATTACATATGAAAAATCTGTTTGGAAAGTTAGTGCCGCACACGTTAACAATTCAACAAAAACTGGATCGAAAACAAATTTCTCAGCGTAATTTGGAGCGTTTAATAAAAAAAAAACGGTTTAACAGAATAAAACCGATTTCTTGCGTCATTTTATAAGTATGGATGAGACTTGGATCTACCCCCATGATTCTAAATTGAAATAAGAACGATTACAGTGGACTAAAGCTGGTTGTTCAGCTCCAAAGCAGGTGAAGTCACAACGATCAGCAAAGAAGGTTATGGCATCAGTTTTTTGGAATGCAAAAGGAATTTTCTTGATTGTGTATCTGCAGAAAGGTAAAAGAGTCAATTCTGAATATTATTGCAGACTTTTGGATCACCTGGAAGAAAAATATCGATAGAAAATACCTGGTTTGCAACACAAAAAAAGCATTTCTCATCAAGACATTTTACTGCTCACAAAGGTGTTTTAACAATGAGAAAATTCAACGAATTAAAGTTCGAATTGCTTGAACATCCACCGAATTCACCAGGTTTGGCTTCCAGCGAATACTACCTCTTCAGAAACCTGAATTGCAATTCCTTCGTGGAAAACGTTTTTCGTCGAATGAAGAAGCCGTAGACGGGTATTTGCAGAACTCCCGAAAGAAATTAGTGTATTGAAGTTAACGGAGATTATATTGAATAAAAATTATATTTCGAGCGAAGAAACATAATCACCAAATAACTGTAAGGGGCACTGTTTTATTGGCCGTCCTTGAACGAACAAAAATCTGTTCATTACTTAGACTCGATTGTCGTGGGAACAGTCATATATTTGTAGTATATATTAATCAATATTTACCTATTTTCCGAATAATTCTGTACTTTCCGCCAACAATTATTTCAGAACGATTGTCCTTCATGAGACGTAACTTCTCCATGGCGATTAGTTGTATTTTACCAGTTTCCAATCCTAAAATGTAAAAAAACAAAAAATATTTAAAAGATTTTTAATCAAAGTTAATTAAATTTATTTTCATATGAGCATACACATGTTGCTTTTCATATAAAATAAGACAGTGGTTATACAAAATATTTACAAGGACGCAGATAAAAAGACTTTTTTGCCGCAAAACTTTCAGCTCTTTTTGTAATAAATTTTTTATTTGAATAGTTTAATCTTAGAGAGCAATTCTTGAATTATAAATTTTTGATTTTTGCGAAATTAAAAATACAAAGAAATTTGTTATTTCGAAATTAAGGTAAAGCAATGATAATATTATCGAATGCCGTGACACATACATTCAAAAACCATTCGTTTTAGAATTTAACATGATTTCACTTTCAACAATAAAAAAAGACCACAGGCAGAGGTGCACAATATTTTAAAACAATTCAATGAAAGTGAAAATTCGACCCTGATTTCAATATTGCCAAGTAAACCACATAGCATATAAATTATAGCGAACCGATCATTTGGCGGCTCTCCCCCAATTCGAATACCTTTTGAGGTATGAGGGTATTAAAAAATATCGTAACCTGCTACAGAAAATCCTTATGGGTCTGAATCGTTTTTCACAAAAAGTTTTTTAATTTTGTTCACATTAGTGTTGTTTGTGATACGTCAAAAAAAAAACGATGCCAATATATATGTACGTACATATATATTATACATATATATCAAAACGACCGGACTGAACGATAAGGGTGATTTTTCAATATCTATCCGTTTGTATATCAGCTTGAGCAACGATTAACTTCTGAAATAAGTGAGCCAGCTTAATGATCTAATTAATCTCATAAAGTTTAATCTCAGCTAAATTTATTAGAGAATTTATATACCCCAACCACATATCACTCCGTATAGTTTAAAGAAATTATTTTTAAATTAATTCGAAGTTTCTCTTGAGGTAAATTTTTCATACACAGCGAATTCATTTTACATAGACAGAGACACGGACAGACTATAAGGTGGATGCATAAGAGCTTCTGGCAAGTCACTGTGTCTATATAAGGCCTGGCATTGTCCTAAGGGAACACAATTCCTCTCCTATTCACTTCGGGACAAGTGCTTCACCCAAACCGTGCAATTGTCGGCAGCACAGGTCCAAATCAAAACTTTGGCCGATGATTCCCTGCTAATCTCCCAACACACGACCGTTTTCGCTTGACGTGGTCGTAAGTGAATCACTTTTCATCAGCAGTAATCATCCACTAGAAAAATGGAAAGATTTTGCTCCGATTCAGCAGCAATTCGCGTGCGGGTTTTGTTCGTTAACTCATGTAGCACCCATACATCGATCTTCTTTTTGTATCCAGCCTTATTTAAATCGTTCCAAACAGATTTTTCTGCAATCTATAGCTCCTACAGGTAATCGATACATTTCTTTCATGTTGTCAGATCTGACTTTTTCGTTAATTGTTTTGATATTTTCAAAGGCAATATTTATGTTTTGTGCACTGCTTTGATACAGCTTGTACTTAAGTTTTCTTGAGATCAACATAGCCAAACATTATCGCGCTTCAGGCGTAAATTTTAGAATTTTGCATTTGAAGTGCGTGTTTCTTTGATTTATAATGAATTTTACCCTTATATTTTTAACTTTTATATCCACTGACACTTTCTTAATTCGTTGTACACATTTATTTTATATTAAATGGTGCAAAAATAACTTTAATTCAATATTTAACTTCTGTTCAATTCTTTTTATTCACACAAATATATATATATAAATATAGCCGCTTATAGTTTTCGAAAGATTTAAGATGGATTTTACACTTTCATTTTTGATTTTTATATCTATTATCGCTTTACTAATTCGTTTGCACATTTATTTTACATTATCATCTTTTGTAAATGAACTGAAAGAAATAAAGATGGCAAGAATTAAAATATTAGTTTTTTCGAGTAGAATTCCTTTCGGCGTTGGCGGCCTTCGGCCGCGCTTAAAAAACCCTCGTCGATCGAACACCTCTGTTAAGCGAAAGAAGAGAAATACTGAAAACGGTAATTACTCATTATTGTTTAACATTTCTTATCCCTATTTATGAAATAATATTTAATCCTTATGTATGAAACAAGTGCTCGTTTTGAACCATTGTCTCTTTATAACTCAAACATTGATAACCAGAAAATTGTTTCATTATTTTTCACAACACAATATGCGGCAACACTGGTATTTGTCATGAATGTAATCATACCAATTATTTGAAACTGAGAGTGTGCATAGTAATTTTTGTAGTATATTTATCTTTAAAGGCACAATAAATCTATATTTTAATAATAACAGTGTAATTATAAATATATATGAGTTGATAAACGTGTGGAAAGTGTGTTTAACAAAGCGTAAAAGCGTGCATTACCTTAACAAATTTTTCAATTTTAAATACAAATATCTCAAAACGTGGCTAAATGAGCTATAAGCCTTTCCATCGAACATTCCTCACAATCAACATCACCACACTCCACAATAACACAACACACCACAACAATAAAATCCACTCCCGAAAACACCACACACCAATACATACAACTCCAAACAACCACCGAGGGATGCCAATATACACCACACACGATTTCACCACTCTCTCTGCCTAATCAACAAAAAGGATCGTCGACTGGATCTCTTTTTTCGATCGATCGCCGTCAGAAATGAACATGCCAACTGAACACCGTTTTTCGAGTCTTTCTCTGTGGAAAGCTACAAGTGTTAAAATGAAAGTGGTGTGTGTCCCTGTGCAAATTACCACCAAAATATATATGATCCTTCGAGCACTAGCGGACGGCACTATGGGATGTTAAGGGGTTAGGGGTCATAAGTCCTTGGAGATTCATCTAAAATTAATCGGACAAAAAAAAATTTGTTTCATAAATAGATAATCCTGGGCCTGATGGAAGCTTTTTTTTCAAAAATTAACAAAATAGCGGCCTCAGAAAATTTTTTTCTAGATTTTTGGGAAAAAATCAATCAAATTGGTCTAAAAAATCGAAATTTTTGAAAAAAAAAATCATTCAATCAGGCCGGTTTTCGAGTTGCAGTTGTATTTGTCAAATAACTCAAAAAGTAACTATGGGATCAACTTGAAATTTTCAGATAATTTTCAAAAAATGCAAAAATTTATTCTTTGAAAATTCTGATTTAGGGGTAATCCCTTAAAAAATAATTAACTAGAGTGAATTACTGTGAAACACACATTGCAGAATAAAAATCAGTTAAAAACAAAAAAACGAGGGAAAAATAATAAATATATATAATATATACATACATATACATAGGTATATAAAAATTTTCTAAATGTCCCATAAAACAAAACCAACAAAGAACCTGTCTGTGTATATTGTACAGTTGTGAACATTGTACAGTTATTTCTGAAGTCAATTGTGCGTTTGCAAATCAGTGAAAGAGTGCTATTGACTGTGCAATGACGTGTGCATAAAAATGGAGCCAAACGATAAAATTAAACATTTTGCGAAGCGAAAAAACTTCTTTAGATAAAATTTTCAACAAACCATGAGTAAAAAATTGTAATCTTAAAGATTTGATGTAAATTTTGTTGTTTCATATAAATTAGGTATAAAAATGAGAAGAGCCAAGCACTGCAGTCCTGAATGCCGAAAACTGATAAAAGTAATTGAGTTTACAATCAAAAAGCCAAAGGGAAATAGTTCGAATAGCTGGCTGCTTAAAAAAAATGATTGAGAATGCAATAAATTATAAAGAAAAACCAGAGAATAGAGGAAAAAAATCCAATATCAGTGCGGTTTTTAAAGGCGAATCCTGCGTCGGGTGAGAAAAAATGACTTTGTGAGCTCTTCTGCCCTTAAGAAGCAGTATTCTTTGGATGTGGATGCTTCAACCATTCGAAAACTATTAATCAAAAACAATTTGAAAGCTAAAGTTGCTCGTCAAAAACGGTACTGACCATAGTCAATATAAAAAAAACGGTTAAAATTTGCCGAAGATTGTGCTGAATGACCAGTTAGTTAATGGCGAAACATTCTTGGGTCAGAAACCAAAGTGAATTTATTCAACTCAAACCAAGGTAGTCTTTCTGTGCGAAGACCGCCCAATACCGAATTCCTTTCACAACCCAATAAAAATACGATAAAACATTGCGGTGGGAGTATAATGGTTGGGGGGTGCTTCGCATATTATAAAACAGGTCCGCTATTTCAGATAGAGGATAGAATGGATGCATTCCAGTACACCAAGGTTTTAAATGAAACCATATTACCTTATGCGGACCTTTACCTTTAATATGCCCCTTCAATGAGTCTTTCAACAAGATAATGACCCGAAACACACATCGAATCGGGCAAAGGAATAATTGAGACAAAACGGCATCGCAGTTTTAAGCTAGCCGCCATTGCAATCACCAGACCTCAATCCTATAGAAAATTTATGGCGGGAGGTTAAAGTGGCTCTGAGAGGCCAAAATCCATCCAATAAAGAGGACCTTTGGAGGCTAGTGAAGGCCGCATGGCATAAAATTCCAACTGTTATGTGCCAGAATTTAGTTGTTTATATGCCCAGACTTTGCATAGCAATTATAAAAAAACAATGAATACTGCACTAAATTCAATATTAATGTAACAGTTATTATTCTTTATCCTTTCTATTGATTATTTTATTAAAAATTAATCAAATCAAAGGAAACAAATAAATTTAAACAACGTCTTTTGGCTCTATTTCAAAGCACAGCCAAAACGGGACATGCTAATGAGTTTTTAATTTTGATTTTAGACTTAAGACTTTTAATTGGTATCTTAATATATACTCCATGCGTTGTTTCTTTTCTACCAATAAAAAAAACTTGAAAAAAAAAAATTTCTTGAAATATATTGATTTAAAATATATCTATAGTACTGACTCTATTTCAACGCACATCACTGTATATCTCCCACACCCCCTGCAGGAAACCAGAGCTAGTTGTATCGCTTCCTCTTATTACTTATATTTATATGTACATATG